GGGCTACACAGCCCCTCCACCTCCACCTCCACCACCACCTGCCTACAACTATGGGAGCTACGGCGGCTACAACCCGGCCCCCTACACCCCACCACCGCCCCCTACTCCACAGACCTATCCGCAGCCCAGCTATAACCAGTATCAGCAGGTAGGTGTCCAACGGTGGGGTGGGCAATGGAATGGAGAGACTTCCAGGATTCCCGCATGGATATGTATTCCCAGACTCGAGCTTCTGCTTATCCCTAAAAAAAAACGCCTGCTGGCCTCAGGCTGGTGTTCCTCTGGTATAGCCATTCCATTTGGTGAACACTTCTGTACTGGCTGCCAAGTAACTGGTGTCCTAGCCCCTCTCTCCAGTGCAGCAAGCAAAGGGCCTAGCAGGGGCCTCCAAATCCTGCTTCAGCACCATGGCCAGTGTCCATTCTGATTGATTGGTGTTAGGCCGCCAGACCTATTATTGAGTATTTTGAATACGGTATCTAGCTGAACCTGAAAGGGCGTTACGTTGGCAAGCCAGGAGACCTGGGCTTCAGTCTGTAACTGCCCTCCCATGTAGCATCAGGTCAGTCACTTGTCCTCCCAAGGTACCTTGATTTCTCTGTCAGGGGACCACTGTGTCAGCTGTTGTCACTACACCCATCTCTACCCTGGGCAAGAGTGGGGTCGGGAGGAGCTGAATGTGGGTTTGGATGAAAGACAACCTGGAGCTCTTGGTTTCTCTCTCCCCAGTATGCCCAGCAGTGGAACCAGTACTATCAGAACCAGGGCCAGTGGCCGCCGTACTACGGGAACTACGACTATGGGAGCTACTCCGGGAACACACAGGGGGGCACAAGCACGCAGTAGCCAGTGTGCCCCGGAGGCCCCTACCGGCTTCCTCCACCAGCGCCCACCTCGGCCCCCTTGTCTGCCCCCACCGGGTCCCGTGGTGCTGGGGGACGAGTCACCCCAGGGCTGCCTCCCTCCAGCCCACTGCCTCCCCTCTGAGGGGCTTCTCCCCCCACACAGGGCCAGGCATTTTTCTCTGGATTCAAACAGGCAACAATGACCTTTTTATTTTCTGTTTGTCCCCCCATCACCCTCCTCCTCCTCCTCTTCCTCCTTTTTGACTAAAGACCCCTCCTCTCCCTCAGTCATACAGTCAGGCTACAGTGACTAAGGGGAGGACCCCATCCTGTCCACTCGTCCCAGCCCTGCTCCAGCCCCTCAGCTTCCCAGACCCTCATGCAGTTGGTTGTAAATTCTTCCAGGAGCTGTTTTACTGTCTACTTTTCAGGATTAAAAAAAAATCAAAAACTTCAAAAAAAAAAAAAAACACACAAGTTTAAAAAGCAAAATGCAGAGGGAGGAAGCAGTGACAAATATTTTTTTGGTAATTATGCTTTTTTTTTTAATTTTTAGAATTTGTCCATTTTTACTGTGGGTTGGCTGTTGGTATTTCATCAGGATGACCATTTCTTTGCTGAGTTCAGGTGACCGAGGAAGAGCCACACCCTCAAAACAAAACACAAAACAAAACCACAGAATCATCTTTAACCTAACTTTTTATACGATGTCTCAGTTTCCCGTAACTTTGCACACAAGCTTCTGTGTTGAGTTGAATTGTAACTGCTTTTTGTATTTGGAGAGAGTGTGATTATTGAACTTGAAACCTTTTATTCCGGGCGTCTTGGTAGTTTCTGGTGGGATTAAGCGGGTGAGAGGGAAGAAGGGGAGGTGGAAGGGGCTCCTTCCCTTCAGAACATGAAATTTCTCCCACTGCCTGCTCTCCAGAGGTCTCCCAGGTGCCAGACCTAAGGGTTTTTCCTAAGTGATCCTCTGATTATTTTTACTTCCCCTTGACCCATATGTTTTAACAGGATTTTAACAAACTGCACTTATTAAGAAATGTGTTTACCCTGTTTTGTTTTGTTTTCTTTCAATAAATGACATGGCACCTCCTAGCAGGAAGGACGCAGGGTTGAAACCCTGAAGTGTTACTGCAATTGGCCTTTAATTGGGGTGCGGGCCTTCTCAAGGGGACATCACTCGTTCATGAAACACTTATTGAGGGCTTCGTATGCCTGGCCCCATTTTTGGTGCTGGGGATGCCCCCCTTAAATTTGGGGCCCTCGGTTTAAAACCCACTAGTTCATCTTTTGGTGGTCTAGAGGTTAAGATTTGGTGCTCTCTCCACCGTGGCCTAGGTTCATTTCCCATTCAGGAAACCACACCGCCCATCTGTCCTTGTCATACTCTGGTGTCTGTGTGTTGCCATGATGCTGAAAGCTGTGCCACTGGTGTTTCAGAGAGCAGCAGGGTCACCCATGTGGGCAGGTTTCAGTGGAGCTACAGACGAGGAAGAAGCACTTGGCCACCTACTTCCGGAAACATTGGCCATGAAAACCTTATGAATAGCAGCAGAGCCTTATCTGATAGAGCGCCGGAAGGTGAGAGGAAGGCACAGAAAGACCAGGCCGGGTTCCACTCTGCTCTCCACAGGGTCACTAGGAGTCAGAATTGACACAACTGCACTAACAACAAAGTTTGTTTTTAAAGTGGTTCTCTGGTCCCTGCTCTTTTCAGTCCACTCAGTTCCAGATCCCTCCAGGAATTTGTAATAGAAGGCATGGAACAGGTCCCTAAGTGGAGGGTGAGGCAGGGCCGATGGAGTGGAGACCAAGGCTGGATTGTTGGGGGTCATCACTGGGTGTGACTGCCCATCCACCTCAGGCCTGGCCTATGTGCTGGACTTAGGACGGTTCCTGCCTGCAGTCGTGGGTCCAGGATAGTGGGGATTCCAGAAGCTTCTTTATCCAGCCAATAGGTGTTAGGTACTTGCTCAGTTCCTCACCCATTCTGGACGGTGCTGGTGACAGCATGGCCAAGGCAATACTGGACCTGCCCTCCTGGGGCTCCCCGTCCAGAGGTAACAGACCTGTTGTCAAACAGTGCAAGCATCAAGTGGTCAGCTGTGAGAGCCTGGGGTGGCAGTGTGGTGAGGTGAGAGCTTCCTGGAGAAGGGGAAATTTTTAAAAATAGAAGTCAGCCAGAGTAAAAGACTTTCTGATTGCATCCTCCTTCCCCAGCAACTTGAGTCATTTTTTCATCCCCTCCCAACATGCTGTGTTCCTGGCCCCTTGTGAGGGACAATGCTGGGCACAGGCGTGGCCAGTTTGGTGCCATCCCTTCCGTCACAGGAAGTATCTCAGAGCCTTGTGAAGGGGACACAGGCTACAAAAAAAGGGAGGAAGACCAACTAGTTTTGAGGTTAAGGGTGGGGCATCTGAATGTGAGATGGAGCCAGGGTTGTTGGCTGGTTGGGCTAACAGGCACCCGGGAGTGCCTCCCTCTCCCTGCTCAGCCAGAGCAGGTGGGGAGGGCCTCTGGTCCTCTTGGCTGGGAAGTCCCTTTCCCTGCAGGTCCATGTGTTGGGCAACAGCGCCCTCTGCTGGCCTCTCCTGGTAATATGTCCAAGTGTAGTCCCCACCTATCCAGTGGGACAATGGGCACTTTCTTCCAGATCCCTTATCCTGGGAACTCAAACGGGAAATTATTCCTCTGCTCCAGGCCACAGTGTCTGGATTACTGCACCAGCCTCCTCACACATCTCCCTTAGCTCCAGTCCCTTACCCTGACACCCTCTTGCCAGTTCCCTGGGGATAAAGCGCCTCAAGCTACTTAGTATGGCTTATGAGGCCCCTCATGCCTGGCCCCTGTCACCTCACTGGCTTCATCTTTTGCCGCTCCCCCTTTGAACTTCAGATCAGTGGTTCATTCTGCGGGAGTCACAGATTCCTTTTAGGGTCTATAAATGCCTTGGAAAATGCACATGTATGTGGAATTTTGCATATTTGTGAGTTTCTCAAATCCTCTGCAGCAATCATGGCCTTCAAGTTACAACTTCTTTCCAATTCTCTGACCTTACTGAAGTCCTTGCAGCAACCAGAACTATCCATGCCTGCCCTCCTCTATGGGTCTTTGCCTCATCCATCCTCCAGTCTGAGACCCTTCCCTACCCCCCTTCCTCTTATCCTAATTCCTGCTCATCGTTCAGGTCTCAGCTTGGGCATCCCCTCCCAGAAAGAAGCCTTCCCTTACCCAGGCTGGGGCAGGCAGCCCCCTTAGTCCCCTGGGTCCATCAGAGCCCTGGCCACTCAGAGTGGTCACTGGTGACGTTTGTTTACTCTGTCGGTAACAGACACCTGAAGGTGAGTCCCTACCCGTCACCTAGGGCAAATAGGGAGCTTGTCACCCTCCACGTGTGCAGATTCTCCAGATCCTGGGAACACAAAGTGGGAAGTTCTGTGTCTGATCTCACCACCCACCTCATGCTAGCCAGGGACAGGGTGTGATAACAGAAGCAGGAGAAAAGGCTTAATAAATATTCTCTGAGATGATGAGGAAGGGGCCGGCTCCGTGGCTTAGTGGTTAAGTGCGCGCGTCCCGCTACTAGTGGCCCGGTTTGGATCCTGGGTGCACAGGGACACATCGCTTGTCCGGCCTCAGCGTCCCACATACAGCAACTAGGAGGATGTGCAACTATGACATACAACTATCTACTGGGGCTTTGGAGAGAAAAAGGGGGGAAAAAAAAAGATGATGAGGAAATAGGGAGATTGGATTCTAACCCAGAGCACAAACCCTCAAAGGCCCTGAATGGTGGTCATTCAACTATCCATCCAAAAATTAAGCATGCCGGGCTCTGGAGTCACAGCAGTGAGCAGGTTGAACAATGGTTCAGGTCATTCCAGATACCCCAATTTCCTAGCAGTTAAGATGGGGAGGCAGTGAGGTTCTCTGACCCTGGCGCCCTTTTCCTTCCTGGCTGCGAAGGGCGGGACCCGAGGGAGGCACGCGTGCGCAAAGGGAGGTCCTCCTTTGGCCCGGAACTTTGGTTCCGAGCGCGGCGGAGCACCCGGCCTCAGGAGTGTGCTCAGTCGGAAGTGACTGCTGAGGACAGGGGGCTAAGATAGGCGCGCGGAGACCGTCCGTCGGTTAACAAGTCCTAGAGAATCAGGATGGAGGCGGTGGCCACGGCGGCGGCGGCGAGGGAACCCGAGGAAGGTGAGGTCTTGGCCACGCGGGGGCGGCGGGAGGGTGCGGCTGCGGTGTCACTGGGAAATGGTTCCCCGTCAGCGCGAAGGAGGACTCCTTATTGGGGGACACCTGCCCTCAGCCTTACCTGTCCCCTTCTCCACTTTGTCCAGATTAAACCCTCTCGTGTTGCGGCCTGACCCCCTTTACCCCATCCCCTCCCCCGAAATTAACCCCTTCCGGGTCCCAGGCCCGCCCCGTCCATGGCCCATGCTAACCGAGTTCCTCACCAGGCTAACCTAGGTCAACAGGAGCCTCGCCCCTGTCCCAGCTGGTTTTGCTTCTCCACTTCCCCCCTTCCCGCTGTCGCACCGACCTTCCCTGCCCCGGGCTGACCTCCTCCTGGCCCCCACGCTCGCCTTATCCCCGGTTAACGGCTCCCCCGTTCCTTCTAAGTCCCCTTCCCCTCTGCCTCCTCACGGTCCTTGATCCGTTTCTGCGCTCCCCCATCTCTCCTTTCCAAACTCAATCTCCCTATTTCTTCTGATGCCTTCCCATCAGTATCTGAAATGCTTTTGTTTTGCTCATCTTAACATTCCGTGCCGCCGCTTCAGAGTAATCCCATGTGGGCTGAGGTGTGGTGGGGCGGCCGGCTGAGACATCACTGGCCCAGAACGGGTCATTGTTGAAGCTGGATAAAGCTGGATGATGGGTATATGGGGGGGAGGGGGGTCATCATACTCCCTACTTTGGTGCATGTTTGAAATTTTCCGCAATAAAAAAAGATGTTTTAACCTAGAAAAATCTATCCCTTGATCCCATGCTGCCTACAAGATACTGTCTTCTCCCAAGAGTCCCCACACTGGTCTCCATCTCCTCACCTGCCGCCTGCTGCAGTCTGACCTTTACCTTCCGAAACTGGTCTGATTAGAGTCCCAATGATCTCCTTTTATAGTTCAACTCAGTTATCCCATTCTGTTTTTTTCTCACTAGACTACGTGGAAAATTCAATGCTGTTGACCCCTCCATCCTTCTTGAAAGTTTTCCTGGGGTCTCTGAGACACCGCTCTTTCCAGCTTCCTTCCTGTCTCTCGGGCTTCTCCTGCTCAGCCTGTGTTAGTTTCCTATGGCTGCTGTAGCAAATGACCACAAACTGGGTGGCTTAAAACAACAGAATTTTATTCTCTCCCAGTTCTGGAGGCCGGAAGTCTGAAATCAGTGTCTCTAGGCTGAAATCAAGGTATCAGGGGACCGTAGAGGGCTCCCTCAGAGGCGCTAGTGGAGAACCTGTTCCTTGCTTCTTCCAGCTTCTGGTGGCTTCTGGCATTCCTCAGCTTCTGGCCACGTCACTCCAACCTCTGCCTCCATCCATCTTCATGTTGCCTTCTCCTCTGTGTGTGTCAGGTCTCCCTCAGGCTCTCTCATAGGACACTTGGGATGGCATTTAGGGCCCACTGGGATAATCCAGGATAATCTCCTCATCTCAATCCTTAACTAAATCATATCTGCAAAGACTCCTTTTTTTTTTTTAGGCATATAAGGTAACGTTCACAGGTTCCAGGAATGAAGATATGGCTGTCTTTGGGGGGCCCATTTTTTAGTGTCTCATAACCTCCCTCACAGGCATGTCTTCTCCCCATCCAGTCAGGGCTCTTTCCAGCCCCTCTTCTCTGTATGTCCCTCACATGCTCCCACCCTGCCCTCCCCACAACCTTTCATTTCCTTCGGCTTTAGTTCTTTGTTTTTTTTGGGGGGAGGAAGATCAGCCTTGAGCTAACATCTGTCGCCAATCCTCCTCTTTTTGCTGAGGAAGATTGACCCTGGGCTAACATCTGTGCCCATCTTCCTCCATTTTATATGGGACGCCACCACAGCATGGCCCGACAAGTGGTGCGTCAGTGAGCGCCCGGGATCCAAACCTGCGAACCCCGGGCCACCGAAGCGGAGCGCGTGCACTTAACCACTGCACCACCAGGCCGGCCCCCTTGGCTTTAGTTCTTGTCTTGGCTTAGACGACTCCCACAACTCTTTTCCTAGCCCAGCACTTCCCTCCTGAGAAGTTTCTAGTCCCATGTACCAGTAGTCTCTTAGATGCCTCCCATCGGACGTCTCCTGGGCCCATCATACCTTCCATGTCCCAAACTGGCCTCAGCATCTTCCCCTAAACCTGTTCCTCATCCATGTCTCTGTCTCAGGGACAGTTTGACCTTATCTGGATGCCCCCCTCACTTCCCAGGCCTTCAGCCCCATGGCTTGTCTACTCGGCCTCCTGTGCGTCTTCCTAACCACCACCCCCTCCTCTGGCCTCCTCCACAGCTCCTGTACCAGTCCAGCTCAGTCTTCTCTTGCCTCAGTGATTAAAACCCTCCCAGAAACCCACTGCACCTGTAACCATCAACCCGTTCTCTTCTCCATCCCAGTCAGGCTACCTAAAGGCGTGTCTGTACCTTCTGCCTTTGCTTACTCCCTGCTCGCTGCAGCCGTGCTCCTGTCCTCACCACTTTTGAGAGACAGCTCTCACAGGGTTTGCCTGGTGCTCAGCTTTCCAGTTACCAGTGCCTGGCCAGTGTCTTTGGCCTGGCCTGTCTCTCCCATCAGACTGGGTGCTCCCTGAGGGCAAGAGCTGGATTGGATCCCTCCTGTGGATCCTCAGCGTTGCCCAGCTCAGGGCCTTGTGTAAATTTAGAGGTGCTGAAGAGTGGCTGGATGGATGTGTAAATGAATAGGAGAGAATGAGTGAATGAGTGAGTGACAAGTTAGTGAATGTACTAATGATTTTGTGAACAAGTGAAAAGGCAAAGTATTGAGTGAGTCAATGAAGGAGGTGGTAAGGGACCAAAGAAACACACCAAGCACCGTCCTGCCCCAGGGCCTTTGCACTGGCTCTTCTCTCTGCCTGGAACTGTCTTCTCCCAGAAATCTCGTGGCTCAGCCCCTCACCACTTCCAGTCTTACTAAAATGTCCCTTTTTTGGCAAGGTCTTTTCTAACAGTCCATTTAAAATTGCCGTGCCCCCCCCCCCCGCCCCATTCCCTCCTTCTTACCTCTTTATTTTTCGACAAGGCTCTTAGAACCTCCTAACACACTATATATTTTCAGTGATTATGTTTTTAATTATCTGTGTCCCCCACTAAAATGTCAACTTCCTGCTTACTGTGGTATCTCTAGGGCCTAGAACAGTGCCCAGAATATAGTGGGTGCTCAGTAAATGTGAAACGAGTGAGTGAGTGAGCACCCAGTCCCTTCCACCCTCTCTCCCTCCCTCCACTCCCACCCCTGGACTAACAGATCTCCCCCTCTCCCCACAGGCTGCACAGAGCCCAGTCCTGGGCACTGGGGGGAGCTGAGCTGGACGCCAGTCCCATCCAAACCCCAGGACAAGGTGGAAGCAGCAGAGGGAGTGCCCAGGGCCCTGGACGATGACCCCCCTGGGGCCGAGAACCCAGCGGTGAATGCCATGCTGCGCGCCGTGGCTGCTAGCCGCCTGCCCGTGTGCAGCCAGCAGCAGGGCGAGCCTGACCTGACCGAGCGGGAGAAGGTAGCCATCCTGAGCCAGCTGTACCACGAGAAGCCGCTGGTGTTCCTGGAGCGTTTCCGCACAGGCCTCCGTGAGGAGCACCTGGCCTGCTTTGGCCACTTGCGTGGTGACCACCGAGCAGACTTCTACTGTGCTGAGGTGGCCCGGCAGGGCACTGCCCGACCCCGCACTCTACGCACCCGCCTGCGTAACCGGCGCTATGCTGCCCTGCGTGAGCTCATCCAAGGTGTGGGGGCGATGGGCTGGGTGGGAGGGAGACCAAGGCAGAGGAAGTAAGAAACAAGGATGCAAGAGCAGAAACACAGACAGAGATCCTGGGAGAGAAGTTTTGAGACAGGGACACACAGAGAGACTGACACAGAAACGTGAACTGATGGGGCAGGATAGGTAGAGACAAACAGGGACCCAGCGGTAGAGAATGGGACAGGCAGTGAGAAGGGTCAGAATTTAGTAGATGACAGAAGTGCCATTTCAGATGAGTGGGCCAAGGACTCAGTACCCAGCACAGTGATAACTGGTTATCCCCAGGAAAACTAGATCCCCACCTCACACTGTACACAAGGCCTTGACGGAAACCTAGGGGGGGCATGTTTATGACCCTTAAACAAGGCTCACACGTGAAAACCATGAAGGGAAACATTGACACCTTTTTTACCATGACATATTTACAAGTGTCTTTGTCACCAAAGACACCAGAATTAAAGTTAAAAGATGAGAGCAAGTGAAGCAGAGTGAGTTAAGATTCTAGTTAGGGAGAAGGCATGGGCTGTAGAGAGAGGGATACAGGAAGAGTGGGACACAGTGACAGACGGGGAGCAAAGATGAAGACAGGAGGGAGGATGAATCAATCAATGAGGTGGGGTTGGGTGGCAGAAACTGAGAAAGCAGGAGAGACAGATGGGTGGAGACAGAGGGGCAGAGGAGGAAAGGGAGACACTGAGACCCAGAGAGAGGGAGTGACAGTCAGAGCCGGGGAGAAGGAGAGAGAAACAGAATCTGGTGGGAAACTCCAGAAACAGAGATGGGGGTAAGAGAGAGGGCAGGAGAGGGATGGTCACAGGCCCAGGTGCTGCAGAGGCCAGGATTCCAGGCAGATTCTCACCCTGGGCTCTGAAGGCAGGGCTAGGACCAGTGGGTGGGAGGGACCAGGGCAGGTTTGACTGTTATCTGAGGGACAGAGCCACGCCTGCAGGATCAGGCAGCTAGGGGAGATGCAAAGGACCGAGGTTTGGGGAGGTGGGAAAGCCAGGGCCCCCTGAGAGGTGGCTGCAGAGGAGCATCTGGGAGAGGTGAGAACTGGGGGCTGGAACACCACCAGGGACACCCACAGCTGGACAGACGCGCTGCCCTGGCTGATCCTGTGCACACACGATCCAGCTCCACATGGATGTACATTACGTGCCCAGCAGTGCAGGGGTGTCCAGGTGTGCACACCACCAGCCAGACTGGGGCTCGACAAACAGGCACACACAACTGACGTGCTGGCTCCCATGTGCGATGCACCTGCCTGCAACGTCTACACACTGGCTCTGAGACACACAGGTCCCTGTGGGCAGTGTGCTGACCACACGGGAGGACGTGTGTATGTGTGTGATTGTGCACACAGACTGATGGGCAGGAGCTTGTGAATCCTGCCCGGGCACAGTTGCTTCAGACCTCCAGTGCCACAGGGGCCAGGATGTACATGGGCCTGACTGTGCACACACGTGCTTGGATACTTGACTGCATGTGCAGAGACAGGCCTGGTCATGCACACATGCTCAGATGCACGCATGAGTCCTCGTGGCCACGGGATCTCAGGCGTCTGTGCATATTTTCCTACATACCTGAGTGTGCACACACTTGCACTTGTATACACACATGTTCACACACATGCATGGACACAGGTCTGCTCAGCCACACTCACTCAACAGCCAGCCCCCCGCCACACCCGCAGGCCCCTGACCCTGCGCCCACCCTGTCCCCCGCTGTGCAGGGGGCGAGTACTTCAGCGACGAGCAGATGCGGTTCCGGGCCCCGCTGCTATACGAGCAGTATATCGGGCAGTACCTAACACAGGAGGAGCTCAGCGCCCGCGCCCCGACCCACCAGCCGCCCAAGCCGGGCTCCCCCGGCACACCCGCCTGCCCGCTCTCCGACCTGCTGCTCCAGTCCTACCAGGAGCGGGAGCTGCAGCAGCGGCTGCTCCAGCAGCAGGAGGAGGAGGAGGCCTGCTTGGAGGAGGAGGAAGAGGAGGAGGACAGTGACGAGGAAGGTGAGGGGCAGCAGCAGGGAGGCCCCAGTGTCCGGACACCCCAGCCTGGGGCCCATGTGTTTGTCCATCCCAGGGCACCAGGTTTGGCCCCCACCCGCAAGAGCAGACATCACATCCCTCCCGTGCCTGGTCTGACCCTCCGCCCTGTGTGCCCTGGCTCTTCCCCACCTCTCCAGCATCTCTTTCCCCACTCCTCAAAGGCACCAAGCGATCGCTCACCTCCAGGTCTTTGTTCATGCCATTCCGTCTGCCAGGAATGCCCTCCCTTCACCGCCCTTCAGTTAGGTCCTGACCCTAGTCTACAGCCCACTTCTACCGTCACGTGTTTGACGTGTGCCTCAGGAGAGCAGGGACCGGGGTGTCTTGGTCACTGTTGTGTTCCATCCAGCACAAAGGAAGCAGCTCTCTGTGGACACGTGTTCAGCGCCTGTCTGAGAGCCCCGCCACACCCCCACCCACTGTGGGTGTCTCCCCTACAGATCAGAGGCCTGGCAAAGACTCAGAGGCCTGGGTCCCCGACTCGGAAGAGAGGCTGATCCTGCGGGAAGAGTTCACCAGCCGGATGCACCAGCGCTTCCTGGATGGGAAGGACGGGGACTTTGACTACAGGTACTCCTGTGTCCCCACTTCCCCATCCCCCAACCTGGCACCCCACAGCCTTTGGCCACATGCCAGATCCGACGCACCTCCATGGAGGGCCTCCCTTGGTGGTGCTAGAAGGCCCCAGAACAATCCCCGGTCATGGGTCCTGGGGTCAGACAACCAAAGATCAGTGGGTGACCCTGGACTAGCTTTGTCCATCTCAATGCCTCAGTCCCCTCATCTGGGAGGAGGGGAAGGAGCAGGGCTGACATTCAGCTCAGTATTGATAAGATATTGAAGCATTTCCATCTGGTAAGTGGTGGTGACCTGATAGGATGCCACCTATCACCTAACACCTCAAGTGTCCCCCAAGCACCCCAGCTTCTTCCCCAGCACCCCAGACCTTCTGCCACAAGAGGTAAGCCCTGGCAGGGTGAATGCCTAGCATGGAGGGGCCTGTGATGGCGTCCCTGCAGTACTGGTTGTTAATTTCTCCACTATGACCCCAGGGCCACCTGTTTTGAAAAGGACAGTGAGGTATCAGAGTCAAAGATAAATGGTTTTGTCAAGTGAGGCAGTCTTGCCCTGTGGTCCTGAACACCAGGTGTGGCAGCCGAGGGCCCTGGTTTTAAACATAGCCCAAGGACCTAAGAACAAGCAGACCCTCGGGGGCTCATCAGTAGAAGGGGGATCATGATTGCCTCTGCCACGGGCAGCACCTGGGACGTGAGCATCGCTGGCTTGATCTGGGATCCCCACCGGCTCTGGAGGCGACTCGAGCTGATCACTTCCAGTTGGGGTGGAGCCTCTCAGCCTGAGTTCCCACATAGAGCTGTGAGCCGAGTGCCTGGGCCGTGGGGAGCCCTCAGTATGGGCACCACTGCCGTCCAAAAGCCAGGTGCCCACAAGGAAATCAGACCTGGCGTGAGGAATGGGAGTGATGGGGACCGAAGCCTGTCCCCTCTCTGGGGGGCAACTGCTGGGCAGCAGGGCCGACGGGTCCCTCATCTGTGTTCAGCCACCACGTGCTGAGTGCCCACTGTGTCCAGACTCTGGAGACAAAGCGGGGAACAAAACGAACAGAGAGGGTTCCCTGCCCTGAGAGGGTCCCATTCTAGTGAGGAAGGTGAAGAAGCATCTAAATCTAGTGGTGATGGGCCATGAGGAAAAACAGAGCAGAGTCTGGGGAGGAGAGTGAGGTGACCAGGGAAGCTCTCTGACAGGTGACATTTGAGCACAGACCTGTGGGAAGTGAGGGGTAAGGGACATAAATCTCTAGGGGAAGAGCGTTCCTGGCAGGGGGAACAGCAGGTGCAAGAGCCCTGAGGTGGCATGGAGGAACAGCAAGGTGGCTGGAGTGAGGGGTGAGGGATAGGAGGTGTCCTGAGAGGTGGTGGGGCCGATGGGGCAGGGCTGCCTACACTGGAGTGATGGGAGCCGCGAGAGGGTTTGGAGCAGAGCCAGGGATCCTCCTCACAGTTTAGGACCACCATCTGCAGCATCCCTGGCCTCAGCCCACTCAGTGCCACTTGTGACACTCAGAATGTCTCCAGTTATCACCAGGTGTCCCCTGGGGGGCAAAATCTTCCCCGTTGAGAACCACTGCTTCAGGGGCATGTGGGCGCGTGTGTCACTACATCTTCCAGCTTTTCAAGAAAAACCAGAAGTCTTTATGTAAAATCTCTGATTTGGAAATTGTTGCCTTTTGTCTGAAGCCCTGAGAGAGCCAACATCCCCCCCAGGGGTTAGCTCTGACTTACTGCTGCCAGCTAGGGCCTTTGACCTCAGGGGGCCCTAGGCCCCAGCTCCTCCCAAGGGTGAGAAGCAGGTGGGGGGGGCTGGGGCCCTGGGCAGAGCCAGCCTCTGACAGCCCCTCCCCCTGCAGCACCGTGGATGACAACCCCGACTTTGACAACCTGGACATTGTGGCTCGGGATGAGGAGGAGAGGTACTTCGACGAAGAGGAGCCCGAGGACGCGCCCAGCCCTGAGCTGGACGGGGACTGATGGCCACCTGCCTCGCCCCACCCCAACAAGACAGCTTGATGACAGGCCAGCTCAGTGACTTCTCCAGGGGGACCAGGGCAGTGGCCCCACACCACCAGCCTCACCACCAGACCTCTCTGGGTCTGCTCCCATCTCAGACAGCCCCTCCCCTCTATGTCAGTTCCCTACCTCCCTCCTCGCTCTCCTTTTCCTTCCCCTCCCTAAACCCTACCTCTGTTTCTCTCTTTCCCTCTCCCTGAGCGCCCCCCCCCCCCCCGCCCGCCTTTCTGTCTCCTGCTCTCTGTGTCTCTCTCCCTCTCTCTCTCTCCTCCTCTGTCCCCACCACAGGGCCCAGGATGAATGTCCACCCCTTGACGTGGGGCCAGTGGGGCCTCGTAGCTGGAGCCGGCCAGGTGACCCCAGTGCCCCACTCAGGGTGGGGCTGACCCCTGGGCCCCAGAGTGGCTCCCTGCCTCCCTTCCTGGTCTCTGCCCCGTCTTCCTCCACCTCTCTGTTGACTCTCCTGTCACTCCTCCTTGTCTCTGTTACATTCCCATCTCTCCTTCAGCCTCACTTTCTGGGCCTGTGGTTCTTCCTGCCCTGCATTTCCATCTCTTGGTCTCTGTGCTGTCTCTGTTCCTCTCTATCTTTCTCTCAGCCTTTATCTCTCTGGGTTTCACTGTCCCCCTAGCCTGACTATTGTGGGCAGCAGAACCCTGACTGCTGAGTAATGTGGCCTCACTGTGGGCAGGCAGGAGACCCCAGGGGTGGCAACTAGCTCTCACCTCCCCCTGGGGACCCAGGCAAGGGAGGGGTGGGTAGGGGCAGCACTGGGGATCATGGGCCTGCCAGCTTGGGTGGGGAGGGGGGATTCTCCTTTCCACCCCCACCAACCCCCCTCTGCCCAGCCACAATTTTCCCTTCCTTCACTTCCTCCCTCTGCCTCTCCTGTTTACACTCCCCAAATATGCACAGGCTGTTATCATGGGTCCTGAGTCATCCCACACACACAGCCTGCCCCAGCATCCCTGCCCCCAGCTGGCCACAGGGCCCGCCCCACAGAGCCCCCTGCCGCCCCAGGCTAATGGGAGCCAGATGGCCGCCTAGTGACTCAGCCACCGGCCTGTGGGAACCCAGGCGTCCCGCCTTCCCATGCCCCCACACCCAGCTCATACTCCCCCGGTAGACACACACAAGAAGGGGCCAGCTGCAGAGGGGGAGGGCATAGGCCAAGGGTCAGAGAGATGGGGCCTGGGGACCTCTCACTCCTGTGAGCTGGAATGGTGGCATTCTGCCATGGCCAAGCCTGAAGGACCCTCAAAGCCACCTCCTTGGGCATGTGGCCCAGAGTGAGGGGAGATCCCGAGGCCTCCTGGGGCCACAGCTCTTGACCCCAGGGCCTGACCCCTGCCCTCTGGGTCAACCAGAATTAGAGCCAGACACAGAAAGTGAAAGCTGGATGGAAGCTGAGGGATGTTCAGATGGAGAGACTATTAAATAAGGAAACTTCTGGTTACTGAGCAGTTCTATCTGTGCCAGGCCTGAGCAAGGTGCCCAGCGCCACGTCAGATCCTCCAAACAGCCCCATGAACTAGGCACTCAGCTCCACTTCATAGATGAGTCAAGGGAAGCCCAGAAAGATGTCACTTACTCCAGGCCATGCGGCCATCAGAGATGAAAACCCAGGTCTAGAACCGCATGAGTCCTGGAGACTCGAATAGCCTCCCTGTCCGACATCAGGGCCACTCAGAGCAGACAGACGCACAGACAGACTTCTCAGATGGAAAGACTGAAGAGTTAGCTGTTGAGGATGATAGCAGCTGACACCTTGGGGGTCCTTCCTGTGCGCTAGGCACGGCCCTACACAGATGGGACTGAAGCATCTTGACACATGATCAGTACTGCATCCCTGAACCCTCCTGGTGGTCCTGTGCGGACGCACTCTCAGTATTGACATTCTGTCTCCTGGAGGAGGCCCAAAATAATCCAGCCAGGCTCACGTGAAGAACTAGAGAAACAAGCGAGGTTTCTCTCTCAGGAGAGAGGTCCTTTTCAGGTACTTCTTGTGCTCATGCCTTCAGGTTGTGAGATCTCTTTCATAACACGGGGATCAGCCCTTAGTGAGGTGCACATTTTCCACCAGTCTATCATTTGATCATTAAATTTGTTTGTGATATACTTTGCCATACAGAAGTTTGTTATATAATAAAAAAAAAGTGATGAGAGACACAGCAATTGACTCAGAATTAGGGTTAGTCAGATCTGGGAGACGGGAGCGTCTGTAGCTGAGAGACAGAGGTGGGGCCCATCAGGAGGGGTGGCGAGAGACACACCCCCAGCAGGAGCAGCTGAGACCTGGAGGTGCCTGGGAGGCGCCTGTGCCTCCGCCCCCAGTTCTGGGCTTGGGGTGGGCGGAGAGGCTGAGTCAGGGCGGGAGAGCCCCTCCGTGGGCATCCGGCCCCCACCCCGTGTCTCCTGTCCATCCTGGCCCTGGCCAGGCTCTGCTGGCCGCCACCCCCACCCCCTATGTCTGACACCTCTGTGCGTCCTGCCAAAGCTGACAGACTGACGCCCTGCCCCTCTCCTCTCCCTCCTCCAGCTGCCTGCCCCACACTGTCCTTTCTCCCTTTCCTCCTCCCTCCTCCGCCTCTCCCTCCTCTCTCATTCTTTCATTCTGTCTGCGCCTCTCTGGCTGTCAGTGTCTCTCCATCCCAGTTCATCTCCCTCTCTCAGACCTTCCCTCCTCCCCCTCCCTCTTTTGTCCTGGGCCTCTGCCTCCTCTCACCCCCTTCATGTCGGTCCGAGCTTCTAGCACTTCTCTGTAACCCTGTTCCCCGGGCCTTTCTCTGTCGGAGTCTCCCCTCCTACTCTGTCCTCATCCTCATTTTTCCTCTCCCTCTCCCTGCTGTCTTTCTTGGCCTGCACCCATCACCCCATCTCAGTCTCTGTCCCCTCCTTTCTGTCTCCCAGACCATGGGAAGCCCAGCGGGGACGTCCAGGTCAGAGGTTCATTGGTGGCCCCTGGGAACCCAGAAAGGGTCGCCGCCTCGCCCCCACCCAAAAGGGGGCGGGAAGGGGCAGCGAGGCTGCGGCCTGTCTGGCCAGAAGGAAGTGTCTGTGCTGTGGCCTGGTCACCCCCGCCCCCAGGACCTGCCGGGCTGCTGCCGCCCCCGGGCTGGGGCCGAGTAAACACAGCGGCCGACAGCCCGGGATATTTATACCGAGGGCCGGGCGTGGGTCCAGTGCCCACCACAGCCCCTGCCCTGCCCTGCCTGCCACAGCCAGCCCCGAGCCAGCGTGGCACCAGCCAGCAAGGAGATGCACCGCAGACGCAGCCTCCACTCAGCACGGAAGCCACAAGGCGCATTGCTCGGGATGCCAGTGACTTCACTGGGGACACACGGTGCCCCCTCCCCTGGAAACACCAGCACGAAATGCAGACCCGCACCACAGCTGCTCATGAATGCGAACATGAACACACACCCACCCCGCTGAGAACCTGAAACTCCCTCGAAAGTGATGCAAAATGAAAACCCACACACTGAAGTCACCAGCCCACATGTGGGCACACAAAATGCAGATAGCACCTGCTCAAAGACACCCACAGAGGCTGCGAACACCAGTCCCCAAGATGGACACAGACACGCACACACACGCCAAGAGTGACAGCAAGCATGTTGAAGACACACCAGACAAACATGCTCAGAATGCCAGCGACACACATTGATCAGAAAACAGAGCCCAGAGACACCTTCCCCACTGATACACAAACACTGGGCACTGTCTCACACACGCACTGAAAACACAGCTCGTGTAAGAAACACAAAACAACACCTCCTGGAAAGGCACTTTTCTCACAGACCCATAAACACAGAGAGAACATCCATGTTTCAAGTGAGACTCACTAAGAATGCACAAGTTTACACCCAGAGAACAGCCTAGGTGTCGAGGAAAAATTCAAACCCACAACTTGCCCCAGGGATTTGGCCCACTCATACACACAGACAGACCGAGTCACAGTGTCAGGATCCAGCACCCAGAGAGCACACGAGCTCGTGCAGCAGAAACAGCCTGGCCACAAACACGTAGAGTCAAACATGTGCCGGGGACACACATGTTGAAAATACCCATCCATCCCCAGCACAGGCCACAGGCACCCAGCTGGTGTGTGAGAGACCCCCATGCTAGACACACAAAACTCACAACCATAAAGCTTGCAGACTCACACACACACAAAGGAGTCTGAACTCAAATTCACATGAGAAACACACAAGACACCAACACTCGGATGTCCCGAGATTTAAAGGGAAAGGGGCTTTCTCTGTCTCCCCCCTTTCTCTCTCTCCGTGTCTCTCCCCCGCCCACCGTTCTGCGCTGACCCCGGTCACAGGCCTATCTGGAGGAGGGGGCAGGAAGACCTGAGCTGGCCTCCCCTGGCCCTGCTTCCTGCCCCGTGGGGGCCGGACGGGAAGCCGGGGCTCCAGCCGGAACCCAGGCTCCCTCCCCATGACTTCCCTCCCTGCCCCGCGGAGGCGGGGGAGGGGAGTGGGGCACCCCGAACCCCTGATCTCACCCCTGTGCTTGGCTGGGGGCTGGAGCTGCCTTCTCCCAACCAGGCCTGGCCACCCCAAGGGGCCAGGGGTGCCTGGTGGCTGGACCCACGCGGCCCGGGGAAGGTGCTGAGCCCGCAAGTTTCCCTTCCTGGCCGCAGCGCCAGCTCACCAGGCAGCCCCGGGCAGGTGGGCGGGGTGTGTCACAAGGGCGTGGCGAGGGCTTGGGCGACCGCGGGAGTGTGCAGCCCCGGTGCGCAGCCAGGACTTGTCCTTGGGCCGGGGCACGCGCTGGGCGTGTGAGGGCCACGACCCTGGGGGTGTGTCTGGGTGTGTGGGACTGCTCGTCTGGGACCTGGGGTGTGACAGTGTGTCTGGGTATGACGGGCCATGTGGGACTCCCCAGGCCCAAGCGTGTGGGGCTGTGAGATGTCAGACTGAGTGGGCACAACCGACGGGCAGGCTGTGATTGTGACATGTCAGATCTCCGTGTGTGGTGCGTGTCCGGGTGGGACTGTGACGCATCAGGTCGTGTGCCTGCGCACTGTGCCTGTCTGTGACTGTGACCCCACGGAGAATGTTTGTATAACTGTTGGTGGGTCCTGGCTGGAGTCTCTGTTTCATTTCCTGATGGGGCTCTGATGCTGTGAGGTGTGTGTCTGTGCGTGGCACCGTCTCTGAATCTGTGTCTAGTGTGTGGTGGTTGTGACTGTGACCCTACAGAATGTATTTGTGTGACTGTGTTTTGCCATGTCCCTACTGAAGTCCTTGCTTGTGTTCTGTCCCAGTGAAGCTCCAGGGCTGGACTGTGTATGCAATGGGGCGGCATGTGTGTCCGCCAGGTGTCACAGTCCACGTATCATGGGTCCTGTAGGAGTTTTTGCATGTCCGTCGTGGCTCTGAGAGGTGAATGTGTTTTCGTGGCTGTGGGACACCGTTGACATTTGAACCTCTGTGTGAGTGTGAATGTGTGTGTACATGTGCTGCATCCTCACGGAGCAGCAGTGACAACAGTCCGTGTCACTGTGTTCTTGCAGGTGTCTCCACACACCAGACTGGTGACAACGGCAGCGTTTCCTTGCATAGTGAACTCCTCCCACCCCCACCTCACCCTTGGCCCTCTGCAGCTCCCACACCTGGGACAGGAGGAATAAACACATTTCTACCTCTGGGCTGGGCTGGGCGGGCCCTGGTGCCCACTTACCCCGACCTAATGCCACCCATCAACAAACACTGTCCTCCCCCAGGACAGTCACTGGGCAGAAGAGCAGGTCGGCCCGGACCTGGGAAGGGCACGGGAGAGAGCCGGAGGAACTGAAAGCTGGGAGGAAGAGGGGAAACTGAGAGGCCAGAGAAAGAGGAAGCAGGAGAGAGTTCACAAGCAAGACCACAGCAGATGGGAAGACATGAGACAGCAGAGGGAAACCTACCCTATGTCAGGGCACTGTCATTTCTCGCCTAGACAACCGGTCTCCCTGCAGTCACCCTCTCCCCCGTTCAGGCTACTCTCAACCGTCAGCCAGAGGGACGGTCTGAGCACCGATGTCAGATCACACCTCTCCTGTTCAGAACCCTGTCAGGGCTCCTGTCTGCCCCAGAGTACAAGTTCTCACAGGTGCCCACAGGCCTGATGTGGAAAGCCATACCAGGGCAGAGGTTACCTGCATAGACCCTCCACTCGCCTAGGTTCAAATCCCACCTCTGCCACTTGCTAGCTCTGTGGCCTTAACAAGTAACTTAACCTCCCTGTGCCTCAGTATTCCCATCTGTGTAGTGGGGAGCAAACAGTCTCTACAGCAGGCGTCAGCAAACTTTTTCTATAAAGGGCCAGGAAGTAAATAGTTTTTGACTTTGCATACAGTTTCTACTCAAGCCTGCCCTTGTAGCACAAACAGCAATAGACAATACCTAAACGAATGAGCATGACTGTGCTCCAATAAAACTCTACAGAAACAGGGAGCGGGTCAGAATTAGCCTGCAGGCAGTAGTTTGCCAGCCCCTGCTCCGCCAGGCTGTGGGCAGAATGCAGCAAGCTAGTAGATTCATACCTGGCGTGGGGAATTGTTATTACTTCTGGCCTGTGAGTGTTGCCATCTGACTCAGCTCCCAACACCCTTCCTCCTGCCCCTCCCTTCCAACCACACTGGCCTGTTCCTTCCCTGTGGAGCTCACCCCAAGTTCACCCTCACCTCCAGGCCTTTGCTTTTGTCCTCCTAGCAAGGACACTCTCCCGTGATCCTCCCCCAGGCTACCTTCTTGGCTTCCTTCAAGTCCCAAATGCCACCTCCTCCGAGAAGCCCTCCCTCCTCTCCACAGCCATCTCTCTCTCCATTCTGCTTGCCTGTTTGGTGCCCCTTCCATGTCTGTCTCCTCCCCAGAAAGTAGATTCCCGGTGGGCAGAATCTATTCCCTTAACCTTTCGGGGCTTCCGTTTCCTCACCTTTAAAGTGGGTATTATCAGAGTCCCTGTATCTCAGAGCTTTGTTACGGTGATTAAATGAGTTAATGAACATAAGGCGCTTAGAACGGGGCCCAAGGCGCTCAATCAATAAACCTAACCAGGGTTCCCCAGGAGTACTTGGAAGGGGAGTGTTCGTGTGAGGAGGGGCAGATGAACGCGAGAGACAGGAGGCGGCAGATGGAGCGGAGGCCGGGAACGTCAGGCGCCCAACGACACGGAGACCCCGTCCTCTCTCCACCTTTAATGGCCCCCCCAGTGGGCTTGGGGCGCGGTGTCCTTAAATACAGCCCGGGCGAGGCGGGCGGGGGCGGGGCCGGGCCTGCCGGGGGCGGGGCCTGCCGGGCGGGGGCGGGTCCTCAGCTGCACTTGCAGGAGCGCACGATCATGTTGGACAGCTGCTCCACCTTGGCCTTGCGGCCCACGTAGTACACGATGGGCAGCGGCTCCAGCACCTGCGGCACGCAGCACGGCGCCGCCGACGCGCCCGGGTTGTGCTGGTTGTACAGGGCCAAGACCTGCGGGCGGGCGGGCGCGTCAGGGTCGGGGGCGCGGAGAGGGCGCCCCCACCCCGCCAACCTCTCCCCGTCTCCCCGTCTTATCTCGGTCGGTTTTTCTCTCCATCTCTGCCTCTGCCCGTTTTCCACTCTTGGCTTGCACCTCAGTCTTTCTCTCTCCTTCCATCTTCCTAACTCTCTATGTCTGCATCCTTCTGCCTTTTTCTCTGTCTCTCCGTTTCTCCTCCTTCCATTTCCCCGACTCTGCCCCGCTAAGTCACTCGTCTCCGTGGGTCTCCCCATATCTCTGCCTCCCTCTGCGTCGTGTCTCTAACCACTCAGACCCTGTCTCTAGCTTCTCTCCCATGTCTTTACCAACTGCCTCCAAGCACCCTGTCTCTCTCTTTCTCCCCAGCTCGCCAGTTCATCTCTGACTTGACCTCTTCCTTCCCTCCCTCGGTCCCTGCTCCCCGCGGCCCCTACCCCCAGCCCAGGAGCGGACGCACCTTGCTGTACTGCGTGTCCAGGCTCCAAATGTAGGGGCAGGGCCCCAGGCAGAAGTTGGCGTGGTAGCCCTTGGGCTCGTGGATCCACTTCCAGCCCAGATCCTTGCGGAAGTCGATGTAGAGCTGCCGCACGCAGCAGTTCTTCTCCGTGGAGCTGCAGGCGGAGACGGGAACCCGGTCAGGAGGGTGGAGGGGCTGCCCCATGCCCCTCCTCCTGGGGCCGGTGGGGGGGTGTTTCACCCTGGTTGCCCCCAGCACCCCTGTGATAATAACAGCAATAACAGTAATAGTAATGATAATGACTAACTGATAAAGCACTTCCTCTAGCCAAGCACTGCGCTCAGGGCGTCATAATAAACATTATCTCGTGCGATGTGGAAAACAAGCCTGTAAGAAGCCAAATGACCATCCACAGGGGACAGCTAAGTAAATCACAGCACAGCCACACACTGGAACGTAAAGACAGTGCAGCTCCGCGGGTGTGCAACGTGTTTATGGAACTGCTGCATGCTGGGCCGGGATCTACTGGGGACTCAGTACACGCAAAACAGACAGGAATCCCTGCCTTCTGGGGCCCATGCTACAGAGTGTCATGTGGCTCCTCTGCTCGGAACATGGCTCCATCTCACTCAGGGCAAAAGCCCAAGTCCTCACCAGGAACTGCAAGGCGCTCCTGAATCTGGCTGATGTCAACTCCCTCTCCACTGTCACTCTCCTCCAGCCCCACTAGCATCCTCGCTGGTCCTCAAACACAGTCCTATCCCAGGGCCTTTGCACTTGCTGTTCCCGCTGCCTGGCCTGCTATTCCCACAGATATCCACTCTGGCCCGTTCTTCACTTCATTTAAATGTGTGCTCAAATGTCCTCTCGGGGAGCCTTAACTCCTAGAACACTGCCTGGCATGCAGTAGGTGCTCAATAAATACCAGTTACACAAATGAATGTCATCTCCTCAGAGTCTTTCCTAGACCATCCTATCCAAAATCCAAATCCAAATCATTGTTAATTCCATTCAGTGTAATCACAGCATTTCAGTTACGCAAGAAAATGGGAAAATGTCTGTATCCGAAGTGGTGCAAATCTTAATACCTGTTGGAGCTGCCTGAGAGTTTACGGGAGTTCATTATACTATCTTGGTTGCTTATGTATACTTTTGAAATTTTCCATAATAAAAAAAAATTTTAATCAGAATAGGAAAAATAAACAGTCCCTAATATCTATTTCTTCCTTTCCCTTTCCTCTGATTTATTTTCCTTCTTAGAACTTATTGCTACCTGCTCTTTATTAGAGATGGGTTTATCTGTTCATTATCTGTGTTCCTCTGAGGACGGCACTTTTGTCTGTTTTGTCCCTTAATGTATCCCCAGTGCCTACAACAGTACCTGGCACACAGGAGGCGCTCAGCAAATACTGGCTGTATGAATTAATGGATCAATATGTTAGGTTTTTAAAAAGCATGTTGGAGAATAGTGGTGTATAAGGCTCTACTTTTCTGGACTCTTGATCTCCATCCCATGCTCGGATGCAAAAGCCAGTCCTCCTGAGCCTTCTGCTGGTGTGGAAGGAACTCTCAGCCCTGGGGCCATGGCTGAGATGGGCAAGGAGCTTGGCTAAAAAGCTTGACTCACGGGCAGCGGAGAATGCTTTATATTCCATGTTCATAACATGTGCAGGAAACACGATGCAAAGCTACAGGTGCAGTATGATCCAAATTTTGTTTTGCATAAAAGGACTAGAAGAAAATATATTAAATTGTTGACAGTGACTTTTTCTGTGTCGTAGTGTGACACAGATGGGTGACAGCTTTCTGTATTTTCCAAATTCTCAAGAGTGAGTACATGTTACTTTAGAATCAGGAAAAAAATTTCCTTAAAATAAAGAAAATGCAGCACCCTCTCCCTTCAAAAAGAAAAAAGACAACCATTTAGACAAAATAAAAAATCTATGGATATGTGTAAGTGTTTCATACAGAGACTGTCTCTGGAAAGAGACACAAATATAATAACAGTGGCTGCCTCTTCAGAGAGGGGCCGCAGGTCAGAGCTGGGGGGGGGGGTCTCTGACAATCCTTCTAGGTTTGGTCCATGTGCCTGTATTTACCTAATCAAAAAGGAATCAATAGAGAATTAATTAATTTCAAAACCCTGCGAGGCAGGCCTTATTATTATTCCCATTTGAGGGATGAAGAAATGAGCCTCAGAGAAAGGGAGACGTTGCCTGCTCATATGTAGCACGTAAGTGGTGGAGTTCGGGCCAGGTTCACAGCGAACTCTGTGCCACCCCAGAGCCTGTAGCCTCAGCTGCCCAGTGCCACCAGGTCAGCTCAAGCAGAGGGGAAGAGGCGATGACACAGGATCTCTCAGGGCAAGGCAAGGCCTCTCCAAGAGCCACAGAGTCCTGAGATCCCTGGGAGCTCAGCCTGGTCCCTCTCCAATCTCGTTGGGCCTCAGTTTCCCCATCTGTGCAAAGATGCAGGGGTCATTGGATCAAATTGGGCCAAGGAGGCATCGGGAAGTCCATGTTTGGGCTCAGGGAGGGTCCTGAGCCCAGGAAACCAGTGGGGAAAAAGGTTCCTGAATTTCAAGAGGGTCCTGGTCTTACAAAAGGGGAAGCACCACTGTCCAGAATAATCTTTCATTTCTGGTCCAACTCTGGCTGGGCTTCTGAGGTCCTAAGATTTGAATAGTCTGTGATTCTATCATCCAACTCAGCCGTTCTCCGTGCAAGGTCCCTGGAGCAGAAGCAGCATCGCCTGGGAACTTGTGGGAAATGCCAATTCTTGGGCCTCACCCCAGACCCACTGAATGAGAAACTGGGGGTGGCAGTGGGGGACCTCCAGGTGACCCTGAGGCACTCTCCAACCCACTTGTTCAGTACACATCTGGGCCCTGGGATACCCACAGCCCAGGCCCTTGCAAAGCTCCTGCAGATTCCTCTGCCGTCCCGTCTGTCAGGACCCAACAGGGCCTGCTGAGTAACAGAAACCCACTCGGGGCCCCAGGGCAGGCTGAGGGGCCTCACCTCCACCTTGGATGTTGGGGGATGGGTCAGGGAGCCTTCCCAGTGGAGATGGTGTTTGAGCTAAGAACAACTTTTTATTAGGGAAAGCCTCAAACTTATACAAAAGCAGAGAATATTACACTGAACCCTCATGTCTCCATCAGCAGCTTCAACAATGGTCAAGTCATGGCCAATTTCATTGTATCTCTGCCCCTGTCCACTTCCTCACCCCCACTGAATGATTCTGAAACACATGCCATCCATGGTGTCATTTCATCCATATGTATTTCAATATGCATCCCCAAGAAAATCAGGACTATTTTAAAACATAACCACAACACCATATAAGAAAAATTAACAATAATTCTTTGATATCATCACATATCTAGTCAGAATTCACATTTTCCCAACAGTCTCATAAACATCTTATTATTTTTTTTGTGTGTGTGAGGAGGACTAGCCCTGAGCTAACATCTGATGCCAATCCTGTCCTTTTTTCTTGAGGAAGACTGGCCCTGGGCTAACATCCGTGCCCATCCTCCTCTACTTTATATGAGACGCCGCCACAGCATGGCTTAGCAAGCTGTGTGTCAGTGCGCGCCCGGGATCCGAACCTGCAAACCCCAGGCCGCCGCAGCGGAGCGCACGCACTTAACCACTGTGCCACCGGGCTGGCCCCATAAACATCTTTTTTTTAATAACAGTCTGCATAGGGGCCGGCCCTGTGGCGTAGCGGTTAAGTGCACGCGCTCCAGGGCTGGCGGCCCGGGTCCGGATCCTGGGCGCACACTGATGCACCACTTGTCAGGCCATGCTGTGGTGGCGTCCCACATAAAGTGGAGGAAGATGGGCACGGATGTTAGCTCAGGCCCAGCCTTCCTCAGCAAAAAGAGGAGGATTGGCATGGATGTTAGCTCAGGGCTGATCTTCCTCACACAAAAAAATATATAAATATATAATAGTCTGCATAAACAAAGGTCCAAATAAGGTCTCCACATTGCAATTGGTTGCTGTATCTCTTAAGATGCTTTTTAAGATCGGCAGAACCATCTCTCCGTCTGTTCCCCCCTCTGCATTGTATTTGTGCAAGAAACTGGGTCAGGTTTCCTACGATCTGGCTGTTGTGGACTGCATGTCTGTGGTGTTAACGTGTTCCCCTGTCCCCATATTTCTGAAACATTGGTAGTTGTTTTGATCGGCTTTGGGTTCGATTTTTTGGCAAGACTTCGTAGGTGACATTGTGTTCCTCCCTACGGAGCTCACAAGGCTGGCTGCCTCTCTTTGTGATGTTATTAGCTGTTGGTACCCAAGACCTCAATCCATTCATTCATTCATAGGGTTGCGGGGTTGAGGGTAGGATCTGGTGGTGAAGGACCCCGGGAGCAGAGCTGATTTTCCAGCAGGGGAACAGCATGTAACAAAGCCCAGAGGCACCATCAAAACATTAAGCAGAGGAGGGACAAGGTCAGATTATCATTCTAAATTCCCAACATTCTAACTCTGAATTTCAACCTTCTAGGAGTCCAACTTTTCAACTTTCTTAGATTGCAGTACTCCAGCATTTCAAGATTTAAACACTCCAACAGCATTTCCAACTTTCTAGGATTCCCACATTCTAACTCTTGAGGATCTTGGCATTCTTGAATTCTAGGATTTCAAAACTGCATTCCACAGTTCTGAGCCCATCACTCAAGAGGTCCAAGCTGCCACTTTCTAAGATCTCAGCTTTCCAAGATTCTAACATTCCAATACTGAGTCCTAACATTTCTAGGCATACCAATATTCTGGCTTTCTCCAACTCCAACGTTTGTGGATGCTAATATTTTAACACAGGATCCCACCACTCTGAGCCCAAGATTCAAGGACTCCAATCTGCCAACACTGGAGACTCCAAACTGTCAATGGTATAGAAATCCAACAGGGGCAATCTTCCAATTCTGAATTTCCAAATTCTAGGATCCCAACATTCCTGGAGTTAACATTCTTAGATTTCAATAATTAACACTGAATTCTAGCATCCTACAGTCTCAACATTCTAGAAGCCCAACCTGCCAACAATATAGGAATCTAACACGGCGACCTTCCAACATTGAATCCACACATTCTCAGTGTTCAACATTCTAACGGTCTCTGATTCCAACACATCAGCAAGAAAGCAACCTGATCTCAACATTCTAGGACTCCCAGTTCACATGTCCCAGCATTCTAGGACTCGGACCTCATCCCCTGAGCTCCCTAGGCTGAAAGAGATGCCAGCCCCAGCCTAGCACCAGCCGGGTGCCCAGCCCCTGGCACCTGGTCAGCAGACGGCAATCGGGCCTCCAGCCTGGAAGGCCTCAGTGGAAGGCTGCAAGGTTCACCTGAAACAGTAGTTGGTGTCCAGAGCTCGGCGGTGCCGGGAGCTGTGCAGGTGCTGGGCCCTCTCCAGCGGGGTGGCCATGAGGAGCAGGAAGGGCCGGTTCATGCCATGAATGGTGGCCAGGTCACCTCGGCGGCTAGAACTGAACCCTGCTTTGATATGGGAGTCAGAGGGGGCCAGGGGGAGACAGACACACACACTCTCAGATGGATGACTGGGTGGATGGGCAGGGGGAGGAAGACACACACATGTGCACCACACACACACACTCATTGGGCATGGGGCCAGGCCAGGGAGGGGGGCTCACCGTTGATGTCCACTTGAAGTTTGTTATCTTTGCTGTCACAGGAGCAGTGGGCACTGAGGCGAAAGCCCTGCATTACCTCTGTGGGAGTGGGGAGAGGGAAGCCAGTGTGAAGGTGCTGCTCACCCAGCCCCTGGGGGAGGAGTAAGGAAGGAGCAAACCCGGGCGGCTCCTGCCTGCTCCTTCCTCTACCTGTGCTCCCTGCCCCACTTGCTCCAATTCTTTGTCTTGTGGGCCCTTTTTGCCTCCTTCAGGTCTCAGTTCAAATGTCACCTCCTACGAGAGGCCCTCCAAGACACAGGCTCCTCCTCCACTGTGACATCACTTTATTTTCTCCACAGCACTTATCCTCTCTGACATTGTGTTTGGCTATTTATTTCTTGCATTGTTCTCAGTGGAAAGCAGGATGCATGGGGGAGGGATCCCTGTTTTCTTGTTCCCCGCTGGGCCTGGCCCTCAGTCATAAAAACAAACATCTACTGAGTGTGCAGGGGGCCCCAGGTCCTGTGCTAAACACCCTGTATGCATCATCTCCTTTAACCCTCACCAAAGCTCCCTATTGTACAGACGAGGAAGCCAAGGCCCACAGAGAGGCGGCGACTTACCCCAAGTGGGAAAAGGCAGGGCTGGGATGCACATGCCGGGGCTCCTGCCCCAAGGCAGGTGTGGGAGGAAGGTTTCCTCAGTGAACGAGAGAATGAGGTTTTCTAGGCTCCCACTAGGTGCTGAACCCTGTGCTGGGTGCTCTGGACTCAGCAATGACCAAGACAGGCCTTTGTCCTGCAGCCCAGGACACTCCTCTCACTGCCCACCCGCTCCCTAACCCTCACCTTTTCATCTGGCCAAACCACCACTTTCCCATGAGTCTCAGCACGATCTCCCTCACCCAGGAAGCCCTCCCAGACCCCCCCGGATGGGTTTGGGTGTCTGCTCTGGGGTCTCACGGCATTTACGGCCTCCCCCACCCTGGCCCTGATCATTCCAGTCATCACTGCCTGCTAAAGGTCTTGGCAAGACTTCCTAGGTGTCTAGGAGTGACTGTGGGCCCCATGAGGGCCAGAAGTCGTCTTGGGTACCATGTGACCCCACAACACCCAGTACAGAGCCAGCACAGACCTACTGGCATTTTTTGAGTGAAGGAATGAATGAGAGAGAGATTAGGAAGGGGATGTGGGAGCTACGGACTCAGTTGGGAGAGACACAGTCCTCTTCCAGACACGTCAGATGTGTCAGGCTCTCCCTGGACTCTGGGCCTTTGCACAGCCTGTCCCTCTGCCTCGAACTCTTGTTCCTCCTTTCCTGGGGGCTGGTTCTGCTCATCTCTCAGACACCAGCTCCAATGTCCCCTCCTCCAGGAAGCCCTCCCTGACCCCAAGCTGGGTCAGGCACTTCCTCTGGGCTCCCCATTCCAGCCTTGCCCACTCTGGGTTATTACTACCTGGTTTTCAGGTCTCCCCACTACCCCCACCTTCTCCCACCCCAGCAATGGGCCATGAGCTCCATGACGGCAAGGATGGGGTTGTTTTGGTCCCTGCTGTGTCCCCAGCATCACCCAGCACGGGGCAGGTGCTCAGGAAATGGATCAACCATCAATCACTCAGGTTAGAGTGTCTGGGAGAAGGGCCAGGTCTGGGCTCTTTGGCGCCAACACGGGGTGGGGGTGCTAGGCAGGGTGAGCCCGGGAAGAACAATGGGGTCAACCCCATTACAAAATAGGGGCGGGGCAAACAACCAGTCCTCACCTCCCTGGCTCAGCCACTGCCGCACGACTCCAGTAACATCAAAGGACAGCCACTCCGGCGAGTCACTGGGGGTCAGCAGCCGGTTACTGAGGTAGCGCCAGGAATTATTGCTGTATTTCTGGGGGATGACGACGTGGGGGAGAGAGACAGCGGGTAGATGATGCCACACCCCCCGCATACGCTGTGCACCCCATACTTCATCTGCTCCCCAAAACAGGCCTCCAGACAGTCCCTCACAGTCCCCTCCCAGACATCCACACTATGGGGTCCCCACCAAAGCATCTGCTCCCACAGCGGCCCTCAGAGGAGAGAAGGAGAGAGAGCCCCAGGCTGGGAGTCAAGGCACCTGGGCAGCCCAGCCTCTGCCCCTGGCCCCCTGTGGGCCGTGGACACTTCTTTTCCCTCTCTAGGCCTCAGTTTCCTCACTGGTGAAGTGCCAGGTCCCTTTCAGCTTGGACAGCCCACGATGCTGATTCTGCAGACATCCTGGGGTTCCCTGAGCATACAGTTTCACAAACTTGACAGCCCAAATTCTAAGAGTCTATAACTTTCTAAGGGTTCATGTTAGAAGTCATTTCATAACTCCAGGGCTCAGTGGTGCCCCAAGAATCACACATTCAATGAGCCCGAGAAGTTCTAGGAGACGAATGTCCTACAAAGCCAGGAGGCTGACACGCCACAATCCTAGATGCTGCAGATGCCTGACAGCCATGTGGAACGATCCCCTGGGGTAGACAGGACACTCCAGGGGCTGGCAGCAGAAAGCCGAATTCTCTAGACTCCAAGAAGTTAGCATCAGACACAGTTCCCTCGTTGTAAGGTCTAACCCCTACCAGTGAATCTAATGTCCCATATAACACGGATTCTAGGTCCCATAACCTTGTAGAGACTCCAGCCCTTCCAGAGGCTCCAGTCTTCCTGGGAACTCTAAATCTTCTAGAACAGAGCTACCCAAGAGAACTTTCTGTGATGGTGGAAATGTTCTTTACCTGCGGCATCCAAAGTATCAGCCGCTAACCACATGTGACTACAGGCCTCTTGAAATATGACCAGTGAGACTGAGGAATTGAATTTTTTCTTTAATTCTAATCAACTTAAATGGCCATACGTGGCTAGTGGCTACCGTACTGGACAGGGCGGTTCGAGAGTCTCCAACATGGTTCCAGAGATTCCAGCTTTCAAGAGTCCTGCGTTCTTAGAGTCCATCTCCTAAGATTCCAGCCTTCTAAGTGGTTAACATTCTAGGGTGCAAGGAGTCTGCAAGTTCCCAAGAGCCCTATGACTCTATGGTCTGTGCTCCTCCATCCTTCAGGTCGTCTGTGTGGACCCTGCAGCCACCAGCCTTTCAGCCGCCCCACCTGGCCCCAGCCCGGCCCACCTGTGTGGCGCGCGCCCCACCTGGTACAGCTCCACATGGTGCTCCACTTTTAACTTGAGCCTCATCAGACGCAGCTCTGCCCGGGAGAGCAGCACGGGATCGGGCACTGCCTCCCGGAGCTCCGATGTGTTGAAGAACATATATATGCTGTGTGGACTCTGCTTGACAGTCTTATAGATATCTAGGTAGAAGAAGCGGAGAGGGGGGATATCAGGGGTTTGGCAGGAGTGTGGGAGCTGGTGCACCCCTGGTCTATGAGCGTGGACCCCAGGGCTGACAGCCCTGGATGGGAGTGCAACCCTGATGCTTTTTAGCTGTGTGATCTTGGGTAAGTGGCTTCCTCTCTCCAGGTTTGTTTCCTCCTCTGTAAAATGGGGTCCTACCCACTCTTCTCTCCCATCATCTGTAAAGTGCCCACTCAGTACAAAGCTGGCACCCAGGGGGCTGCTCTGCTTGCTCAGGCCTCCCCAGTGCTTACAGCCTCAAATGCAAGTTATAACGCAGCGTAGGCATCAAGGGCATTTGGATCAGACCCTGCCTCTGCTGCCTGCCAGCTCTGTGACCTTGGGCAAGTCACATTCCCTCTCGGAGCCTCGGTTTCCTGCTACTCTTTGGGAAACAGCAACTTGACATCAAGTTCCCCGCCTTCCAACCCAGGCTCTCCTAACCGAAGCGCTGTGTTGTAACTTTGGGCCAATGAATTCCTCTCTCTGTGCCAGATTCTCACCTATGAAACAAGGACCGAATGCAGGATTATAGTGTGAAATAAGTGAGCTGGGGCAGATAAAAGCGTGTAGCACAGAGTCCGCGTACAGCGCTCACTCTAATGTGTGTGTTAAACAGCGTTTACTACATGCCAGGCACTATTCAAAGCCCTTTACAAGGGTTAAGACATTTAAACCTCATAACAACCCCGGGAGGAAGACACTATTATTATATGCATTTTATAGATGGGAAACTGAGGCACAAAGAGATTAAGTCATTTGCCCCAAGGCCACATGGCTAAGAAGCTGCAGAATGGGGATTCAAACTCAGGCAGTCTGTCCAGAGACTGTGCTCTTAACCCCTGGACTATGCTGCCTCCTTGCTAATGTGATGTTATTATTGCTATTATTTTATTATTATTATTAATTGCTTCCTCCATTAGCTGGTTAGAAAGCAAAGTTCATTCTAGGTAGCAATGGCTTCTGGGGGGGAGAAAATTAGGAAGAGTGTGTTCTAGCCTAGGAAAAGTTCGGGGTTGGTCATGAACTCCTGGATGAACTGGGTCACCTGCTTTAGGCCTCAGCAGTGGGGGTGCCGAAATGGTGGAGACAGGATCTGATGAGAAAGAATGGAGGAAACCCCTTCTGTGGGCCCCATTCTGCTCCTCCTCCCCACTCTAGCCAGGCCAGCCCCCACCCCTCACAAATAAGCCCTATCTTGGCCCAGGGGTTACTCAGCAACCCCCAAAGGAAGGATAGAGCCCAGCCGGGGAGACAGATAGGCAGGAAAAGAGAAAGGAGGGGCAGAAATGGTCAGAGGGAGAGATGGAGAGACCACAGAGACAGGGAGAGGAGAGGAATTGGGTATGGAGGAGAAAAAAGAGAGAGAGAGAGGGAAGAGATGGAGAGACACAGACTGGGAGACCCATACAGGGACAGACAGAGTAATGGGGATGCAAAGAGATGAGAGACAGACACACACGGGAAGAGAGACACAGGGTTTGCGGGCGAGATGGAGACAGTCCGGGAGGACAGAAGGCGATCGAAGGGACTATGAGTGTTAGAGAAATCCCTACAACGAAGGTGAAGCGACGACGGAAAAAAAGGTGAGACCGAGATGTGTGTGGGGAGCAGCGTCATTTGGCTGGAGCCGCAAACTAAGCGCACGAATGGGTCAGGGACCCACAAGTCCACCGCCCAAGAGAGAAAATGAAAGCAGGGGGACCGCCCCCCAACCTCCCGCCCACCGGGACGCCTGGGTCCCCGCTAGGGCGCTGAAAGGGCGGGCCCAGCGGTAGCTCCGCCCCGAGCCGGGGTGCAGAGGGCGGGAGGCGCCGCCGCCGCGAAGGCGGGGACCCGACCTGCCTCGTCTCGCCCCAGGCTCCGCGCGCGATCCCCGCCCCCCCGGGGCACGGGAAGGAAAGGGAGGGAGGGAGGGCGAGGTGGCCGGACGCTGGGGTTTCCCCAGCCTCCCAGAGAGGAACTAGGAGTTTGGGGTCCAGGTTCTCAGCCTTTGGCTCTGCGGGGTCCTCCTCCCTCCTTCCGGAAGCGCAGGCTCCTCCCCCCGCGCGTGGCACCCACGTGGGGCTTCTTCACCCCTACCAGCTCAGTTTCCTCACCCCGATCTTGTAGAGTCGTACCCACCCACTTCTCCCCCTACGGCTCGACTCCTCACTGAGCTCACTCCTTTCCATACGGCGGCATAGGGGGGGCTCGCTGCTCCCAGCATGGCACCGTCTCTCTCTCCTCCGCCCCCCTCCCGGGTCCACCTTTCCCACGCTTGTCTCCCCTCTCTGTAAACCCCTTCCCACGACCCAGTATTCTAGGTTCCCCGGGGGCTCGCTTCCTCTGCTGGGCTTCCTCTCACGTCCCCATGCGAAATACTCAGGGCACCTCCCCGCGCATCCCCGGCACCCCCCGGGGTCTCCGCTTCTCTCCCACTAGCTTTCCCCTCCCTACGACCTCGCGTCCCTTTCTTCCCCGAATTTACACCCCCCTCACCGTCTCTCTCTCTCTGGGCCCTCCCCCAATCCCGCGTGCTCCTTGCGCCCTCCACAAGCGGGTCCACTCTCCGCTTTCCCGACACCTCCGGGATTCGCTTCACCTAGCTTTTCTGTCCTTCTTGAACCTCCCCGCCTCACGACCCCTGAGCTCTGGGTCAGCTTTCCGCACTGCCTCTCCTTTCCCAAATGCTGGGATCTTCCCGTCTCCCAAACAGGGCTCCCACTCTGCAGCCCCCCACCCCACGACCCCCGCATTCTAGTGCACCCTGGAGGGAGAAGTCTTTTTCTATTCCTCCCCCCAATTGCTTCTCTCTCTCTAGGGGACTTCCCCCACGATCCCGCATGTTCCTGTCGCCCTCTAGAAGCGGTCCACTTGGCTCACTATCTCCTCTTCTTCAAGACCAGATACCTGGGGGGGTAAGGAGCTCAGCCCTATCCTGTTTGGGATCTCCCTCCCACGTTCCTGGCGCCCCCGGGGGTCCTCTTCCTCCAGCCAGTTTTCTCCGCCAGTATTTTCCTCCCCATGACCCCCGCACTCCGGCGCCCCCTGGGGGCTCCCCTCCAGGGTCCCCTGCCCCTCTGAGCTCACCCTTGCTTGTTTCCACCATTAGCACGCGGGTGACCTCCTTGGCGTAGTAGTCCGCCTCGGGCTCGGGCTCCGTCTCGGCGCTCTCCCCGGCCACCCGGTCGCGGGTACTGTTGTAAAGGGCCAGCACGGCCTCGGGCAGCGGGCCGGGCGGAACCTCCCCCTGGCTCGGGGGGGTGGCGAGCCGAAGCTTGGACAGGATCTGGCCGCGGATTGCCTCGATGCGCTTCCGCTTCACCAGCTCCATGTCGATGGTCTTGCAGGTGGACAGTCCGGCGGCTGGCCGGCCAGGCGTCAGCACTAGTAGCCACAGCAGCGGCAGCAGCAGCGGCAGCAGCCGCAGCCCGGAGGGCGGCATGGGGGAGGCGGCGCCCCCCGGCACTGCCGAGAGCGCGAGCCGGGCTGGGGTGGGAAGAGGGAGGCCCCACCCCTACAGGGGCTGGGGGGGCTCCCGAGGAAAGGTAGGAGGGTCTGGGGGGAAAAGTTGAGGCCCGCAGGGAGAACGGAGCGGCGGTGGAGGGGAGGCTCTGATGGGTGGTTTCTCGGTATCCCACCGAAGAAACCCAGATGGGCGAGATCTGGTACCAGAGGTGGGTGGTCCTGAATAGGGGAGCTGTGGCAGATCTGAGCGAGATCCCGTCTCCCGGATCCCGGAGAAGGGTCCTTGGGCGCGCAGGGGCTCAGGAGAGAGGCTGGGGAGAGGGCGTGTAGGGGGGTGCGCCCGAGGTCTGGGTCAGGTCTTCTTGGGAGTCGGGTTTGCGGCTCCTGAGGGCTGGTCCGGAATGAGGGCGCCTGGAGGACGCCGTGTAGGGGGCAGAGAGGGAGCAAGAGTCCGAGGCGGTGGGGGGGCGGTCTGGGGTCCCCAAGTCCTGCCTCCTCGCAGGGCAGCGCCGCGCCAAGCGGTCCCCGCGCCTCCAGCTCCCAGCGGCAGCGGAAAAGTCTCAAAACTTTTTTTCGTCTTCTCCCAACCAGCTCGTCCCTCCTCCCGCTCCTCCTCCCCCTCCTCCCCGCAGTGGCGGCGGCGGCGGCGGGGGCGGCGGCGGCTGGTCTCAGACTCTGGGGCCTCGGGCTGCTCCTCGGCGGCTCCTTCCTCCGCTCCGGGCCGAGGCCGGCCCCGTGGGCCGCTCCGAGCCGGGGGGTGCCCCGG